GTGTGTGTGTGTGTGTGTGTGTGTGTGTGTGTGTGTGTGTGTGTGTGTGCGTGTGTGCGCGCATTTGAGTGTCTATGAATTTGTCACACTGATAATCCATTGCTGGAATACTCAAAGGTTTTCATCTCAATGACAGACTTCAGTGGGTACAATTTTGTCCAGGTTTGCTATTGGTAGTAATGAGTAGCTGTGATGTTCTTTTCAGACTCCTGGATGTTGGAGTGAGGAGACGAGAGAGAAGAGGAGTACCCACCAGCGCTCTGCGTCCTGGGGCAGCGCCGACCAGCTCAAAGAGGCATGGCACTAACACAGACACACACACTGATGTTTACCGCACATGGCTGTGCGTCACAACAATGACTTCATTCGACAGTTTAAAGGGGAACTCCAACAGTCTTATACATCAAACAATTTTTTGTAGAAACATGTACCTAAAGATTATTTTTGAATTACCTGATTAATATAATTCATTTACCAATAAATATTTCAGTATTTAATTCAAATGTAACAAGGCAATAGATCAGATACCTGATCAGGAAAACACTGGACCTCAAATTCAAAGGATTGCTGTGACACATAGATGAATTTAACCACCGTACATCATAGCAACCCTTTCCCTCAAATGGACAAACAACATTTCTTCTGAAGAACTTTACTTTAAACTTGAACTGGTTATGACATGGATTGATTTCATCACTGGAGTAAATAAGCAGTTAAGATAATCAAATGTATTTTTGCGTCAGTGTGGGGAAGGGGAAATGATTGACAGATTATAACAGCAGTCAGACTGTAACAACAGTTGGTAACATTAGTTAGTATCTCCGTTAAAGTAAAGCGGTGGAATAACACCAATCACGCATGGTGTAACGTTACGTTACCATAACAGCAGCGGTGCAGTAATGACTTTGAACATGGGGAGCGATAGAGAAACATTTAGACAATCAATTTTTAGTGACTAATACTACTAACAGGAACTCAATCCGTGTATATTGTGCTTTGGTACGGACCAAAAGTAAATAAGACGGTGGTGTCTTGCTGCTGTCTTGACAAAATAATAAAATGAAGAAAGCTTTTTAAATAGCTGTTTAGTTTTGACTCTAAACCTAGATTCAATTTATTTCTGTTGCACCAAAAAACTGCAGTTTAAAATGTGATCCAGTATCAACTTTAAATTCACACTGTTAAAATGTCTGCCTTTTTGAGATGGATTAAGCAAAATAATCAGTTCCTGGTAAAAAGTTTTACGTTGCTGCTGCTGAATTCCTCTCAAGATACCGGTTCAGTCTCTTTTTTTCCTTACTGTGAAAAAAAGTTGATCCTTACTGTCCATTATTTTATCTCCTAATATTTGGTCGTATTGCTCCATTCATTTTGCCAACATGTTTTTCTCAAAAGAGGAGGAATTAGAGCTTCTCTGCTGAGTCACAATGAGTAACGTTAAGCTCACTAACTGACTTTTTAGCAAGCAAACAATGTCACGTTTGGTTAAGGAATACAGAGCAGCCCTATGTTTTACAGCCTACTTACTAAGTAAGCATACAAATGTATTTATTTTATGTTGGGTAAGCAAGCATCTCCATATGGATTAAACTCTATTTCATTTTGGTTTAAACTTGGATTTACTAAAAGAAAAGTTATTTTTAATTGTCCAAGAAAGCGCTGTCTAATTTTAAACATAGTGCTAAACTCTGATTAGAACTAATCTTAGATTAAATGAATACTTGTTGGTACAAACAGGCAGCAACCTCCAGTTCTGCTATGTGAAGCCAATGTCGAAGTGTCTTAAAGCTGCTTTCTCTATAATGTCCATCAGGGGGCGACTCCTCTGGTTGTATTGAAGTCAATGAGAAAATGACTCTACTTCTCTCTTGATTTATTACATCAGTAAACATTGTAAACATGAGTTTATGGTCTCAAACTCTTCTTCAATACAGCGTGATGTTCATTTAGTAAATGATGGTCCATTTAGAGTAAAATAGACCATAAAGCAGGGTATGCTTTAGGGCGGGGCTACTGTGATTGACAGGTCGCTGCAGCTACCAGAGCCATATACGATGTCTCTACGTCAATCCTCCGCATTCCAAATTTGGTAACTTTCGTTTATCTGTGGCAAAGAAAACAACATGGCGACGTCCATAATAGAAGATGGTGACGGAATAATCGCTGAACCTGAGGCTTCAAAAATAGGTTGTTCCACCAGGATGGATGGCCTATTTCTTCTGTTTTCTTAAAAGTAGAGGTTGTACTGAGAGGCGGGCCTCCTCAGGGAGACGCAGGAGCTGAAGGAAGGAAGGGAGGGAGAGAGGTGAGGCATAGATACTGCTTGAGGTGAAAGGGACAGGTGCATGCTGGTCTTTTAAAAAGTTATCGTAGTTTGGCTCGCTCAGCAACACTGTGAAATCCGCTTATAAATCATTGAAAAAAAGACATTTATAGCAACTCCAGAACATAACTGAGAATCATCACGTTTTTAAGTTTGCTTCAGTGTCAAAGTAATCCAGTGATAGTTGTCTGTACATCCATGAGTACATTGCAAACAGGAGTTGCTAAGCTAATTCTGCATACTTTAGATGGTGGCAATTTAACAAAGTATAAACTAAGTTGTTTTTTTTGCCTTTATTCTCATTGAAAGTCTCAGTTAAACTTTCATCAGGGCTCTGCATGCGGAAGTCTTAGAGTATGTTTTTTTTTTTATCCACGATCTCATCTCTTAGTGACATTGTTGATTATGACATAGTGAATTCTTTAAGAACGATCAGATCTCCCAGTTTTCTATGTGGCAGATGTGATGAAACAGTACAGAATGACTTTCTTCTGTCTGTATAATCTCCTGTTTGGTCTACATGTCTTTGCGGTGCTGAAGGTTTACAGCAGCGACAGACAAAGACCCTCTGAGCTCCACCCTGCTGATACTCGGCAGCAGCAGGGAGGTGGCAGATAACGCTATCTCACCCTTAACTGCCCACTTCCCCTCTTTGCAATGGCCAAAACACGCTGCAATTTATGGGCAGCCCAAGTCCCAGCTGGCTGTTCTGCAGCAGAGGGAACAATGAGGGCCAGCCGGATGACAGCTTAGCCCTCACTAATGTGTGCACAGGCACATTACTGAGTTACCGGGGCTGCAGAGGAGCGGTACTGACACAGATTCCACAGATGTCAATAGACGAGCTACAAGGAGGAGGAGAGGGGACAGACCTGAGCAGTGCAGATGCTTCAAAGAACTACAGAATATTCGCAGGGGTATTATTATGCATAATCAGTCTCATCATGACAGTATGTCAGGTGTGTCAAAGAAAACTCCGTCTTGTTCTCTCGTAGTTGTGTCAAAACAATAATGATACCCAGTGGCTCCTAATGTATACTAATGTTTTTGAAACACTAATGCCACTCCTGTCTAAGCTTTAACCAGGAAGTGAGATGCGAGGCTATTTTTATTTGGTCTCATTCTCAATTAAAGGTGCTAAATTTGATACTTGGACCATTAATATAGCATCATACAACTTGCGGTGTAGCGCCCTCCGGTCCCGGACAACATGATCTCTGTCATCACTGTTAGCTCCGTTAGCTACTAGCCTCCAGCTCAACCATCATCATGTTGAGAGCCTTGTGGAGACAACAGATATTTCTCTGAATTTCTAAATCAGCACCTTTTGGCATATCTGTGAAGGTTTATATTTAAAGCACATGTGACTGTTTTTGGTACGGATACACAAATACGTGGATAAAGGTCAGGAAGGTTAAAGCACTTTACTTTATACTCCTTTTACGTCATTGTTTTCTCTGTAGTTTCATCCTTTCTTCGTATAAATAAACCTGTTGGCAACCACATTCTAATCTTCAGAGTCCCAAAGTCATTTTACTTCCTGTCAACAGCTACACACCATGTGTATTGAGGACAACACTTTTGCAGCCACTACAAATGCGGGAGTAGGGCCGTGGTAGTTTTTGCATTTAGTAGCAGCATACATACTGATGCATCATCATGTATCAATGGTAAAGTATCCAACCTGAAAACTATTTGTGTTTAAATTAAAAATAGTGTTGCTCTGTAAAATATTGAGCTGAGACTGTACACACTGCTGTTTAATGTCAGCTCTAACTGTGTGTTATACACACTCGCGATCCACTGTCTGTTGCAGAAAACCTGAGAAGAGCAGGACTCGAGTGAAGGCTAAGAGGGGAACAAGAACTTCCAGGACTGCACTGTGTAACTGGTTCAGTGGCCCACACAAAGGGATCACATAACAGCCATTTCAGACAGCCCGCATTGATTGAAGTGTGTTGTGTTTCTACAGTAAAGAGGGCCAGTGTCAGAGCTGTGTGAGGGAACATGTTTAGACATGTCCTGGAGTCGGCTTACTGGTGCACAGTGGAAGGCTGGGAATTCCTTCATGTCTCTGACAGACACACACACAACAGGCTAATTCAGATAAACACTGTAACCAGGTTTAGTAGAGGCTAAGGACTGCGAGTGTTGCTTGAGAAAGTGAACATTAACCAGTGAGACGGCTGACTAGTTAGCAGGCTAGCTTGACCATCTCCAGAGCTAGCTAGTGAGCTGGCTAGTGTGCGGAGCTCCCGCCTGCTCTCCTCCCGGCAAAGTAGTCTCGCCTTGAGTGAGGCAGAGGGACCGTTGGATCCAGCGCTGGCTTCAGCCCACTGTTGGGCTCATTTTCTGTAACCGGGGAAGCATGAAAGCATGGTGGTGGAATTAGCAAAGTAGCTAGCTAACCAGCCAGCCACTAAGTTAGTAACATTTAAGAATGTAATGCTTTATCCGCACACTTTTATCACAGTGTAGGAAAGCACATGGCTATTGTCAAGAAAGTGACAACTTTGATTGGATCATTTTCTGTAACCAGTGTTGCATAAAAGCCACCATGCTTTGTTGCCACACTGTCTACAGTAAATAAGTCCAACAGCGGGCCTCTTTGATAGTTTAGCTAATTAGCGACATTTACCTCCATCTCTTTAATAACTTAGCCCGCTGTGGTGCATCCACCGCTGTGGCTGAGGAGGCTAGCAGAAGGCTAAGCTTTTAGTTTGTCCCATTAATTACTTAGACTGGCTGCCCGCCAGAGTCTGTTTTGTTCCGCCACAATTTTATAATGAACCGAAAATAACAGTGGGCCGGCTGACTGGCCCTCTCTTTGCGTATTTACACTGTAGCGGTGCGCAGCGACCAGCTGTAGCTCAGCTGTTTGTCTGCATGATGAAAAGCAACAGTTTTTCACAAAAATATGAAAAGGTTTCAGAGGTCCCAAGCCTTATTGATTCTCAGCATGAAAAGAGCCGGTTGGCTAATGATCTTTATACCTGGAGCAGCAGCTCCTATCCCAGTTGCTGAGACATTATAGAGCTATGTATGGACTTGTATAATATTTAAAATTATAGTAATAATAACGTTCTGGTCCACCTCCTTACTAAATGTTTCTGTCTCTGTCTTCCCCTGCTCTCCTGTTTGATTCCCGCAGATCGCAAAGCTCCGGCAGCAGCTCCAACGCAGTAAACAAGGAGGACGCCACAGTAAAGACAAGGACCGACTGTCCCCCCTGCAGTGCAGCACCTACACGTACAGCGCCCTCACCAGCACTACCAACCATACCTACACAGCCGGCCACGCTCAGGTAGTGTTATTCAAATTCCTGGAGCACAAGAGTTTGGTCTGTCTGTAGAAAGTAGCATCACTTTTAGGGAGTCTGGTTTGTGTTTGAAATCACAGTTATTGTCAAGTGATAGGATTCACTGACAGAAATGTTGCCCACAGTAACTAATAAAAAAGTAAATTCTAGCCGGTAGCTAACAGTGCAAACAACAGCAACATAGCTAACAGTGTTTACCGGAGAGGTGGTGGGCATTATCCAACAATCTGTCTCTCTGTGTGTGTGTTCTGCAGCAGTTTTCCATGTCGAAGTCGGCCCAGATGCCGCTGTCCAACATCACAGTGCCAAAGCCTTCCATTTCCAGGGTGCCCAGCAGCATGGAGGGCATCAACCATGAGCTGGAGAAGGTCTTCATCAAAGATAATGGAGAGAAGGAGGAGCTCAAGGTGGGGCTCTGGTTCATTTTCAATGCATGCACAACCCAGAGTAACTCTTAACTGGACTCCGCTCTAATTGGTATTCTGTTCCTCCTCCCTGCTGTCTATCTCCCATCGGACTCTGCAGTCCCTGGAGGTTCCCGATGGGCGGCGGGCGCCCTTCCCTCCCCAGCAGCGCAGCAGCAGCACCCACAGCGTGGACACCCAGACCCCCTCGGCCCCCGGCCGGTCCAGCAGCTGCTCCAGCCTGTCGCCCTGCCTCTCGCCTGCCTGCCTGCCTGGGTCACACGACGGCAGTCCTTACTCCACAGAGGATCTGCTGTATGACCGGGACAAAGGTAAAGAACATTAAAAAGTGCTGTTGAATCGGTGAAATGAAGGGCGGATCCTAGAAAGGTAAGCATCGACATAAATCAAGGGCAGACTGAATAGGCATATGTACGTTTGTCTACTGTTCTCCAGGGGTTTAATGCCTGAATCAATAATATTGCTTCATTTGAGTCTATGCTGAGGTAGACAGTTACGTTTTTTATTTTTATAGGTGTTAAAGGTTATATATAAAATACATACATGGAAATAGGATTAACTGGATTATAGTCACCAGAAGTACCTCCAAATTACGAGGGAAATATCTGTTTCTCTTTGAGTTCAAAAAGTAAACAAAAAATAATATAAATCATAATATCAAATTGCAATATTTACAAACTGCAATACATATGAAATCAGCAGCCAAGGACAGAGAGGGTATCGAACCAGAAGACAAGCAGCCCTACTGTTTTATATCCAGCAGTGATTTCCACTGCCCAAAGACCCAAACGCACTGAAAGTACATTGTTGTTTTAAATGTCCGTTTCTACTCAGACCTTTCTTTTCAATTTCGGAGCGTCAGAGGACGATATTTGATCAAAGAAATGAATTAATTAATTAATAATAATAATTATACTGTCACTGGTTTAAATGACAAACGTCATACCATCATACACTCAAAATAGAACTGATCTGTGGTCGCTTTGTGTGCTCTCTGCTGGACCGTGTCTATACTCAGCCAAAGATTGTTTATGAGGCAGGCGAAGCTTCACTCTGTTACTGTTTCTGTAGTCCCAACAACTCCAACAGAGGGATATGTCTTCTATCTAGTTAAACCTCCATCAATATCACATCAATAATGTAATATTATCCACCAGGACCTACATTAATTAGATCAAGTTAAAAGATGGAGTATCTGTAATAGAATAGACGTTGCCTAAATCACGACCTTTTTTAAATACTGCTGTTTCTGTGGTTTTGTCATTTTAAATGTCCTGCAGTGAGCCGTAGGAGCATCGTATGAATCGGGCCTTTAGTTACTTAAATACTTTTACAGCCTATATTCTATAAGTAGGGGAAGCATTGTTAAATACAGTTCAACTTTGAAGAAGGTGTGTTTCCTACTTAAGCACTGAAGAGGGGCTGAGTTGAGCTATCATGTTACTTTTGGCTGCTTAGAAATATGGACTGCCTCTAATGAGGAGCAATGTGTGAAGCCAGAAAGCTCACAGTGACACTGTGGGCCTTTTTGCTATAAATTGGTAAATTAGCAGTATGTAGACAGTAGATTTATGTCATTTGAAGGACAGCCTGTGGAGATTCTTCAGAAAGTACGACTCGACTTTGGAGGAAAAGAAAAATAGACTCCGACTCTTTAAATACAAAGATGTGTTGGAATCATTGTGGGTTGTTACATGTGAGTGTTGGAAGTGTAGAATGTGCTTCTACGCTGTGTCTCTGTGCTCACAGACAGTGGAAGCAGCTCCCCACTGCCCAAGTTTGCCTCCTCTCCCAAACCTAACAACAGTTACATGTTCAAGCGGGAGCCGCCAGAGGGCTGTGAGAAGATTAAAGCTTTTGAGGAGATGAGGTACAGACAAACTGAAACACCTCCCTGCTGCCTCAGGAATGTGTGACCCCCCCACCCACCTGACTTAACTTCCTGTGTACCTCCGCAGCTCCAGGCAGTCCACATCAGCTTCGGTCCCCCTCTTCTCCTGCCCCGACAAAAACAAGGTCAACTTCATCTCGACGGGCTCGGCGTTCTGCCCCGTCAAACTCCCCGGCTCCCTGCACCTCATGCCGGCCTCGGAGCCCGAGGAGGAGGACGAGGAGCAGGACGACGCAATCGTCGGCTCGGAGCCCCGGGGGGCCGCCTCGCTCCACGCAGCCCCCACTCAGGTCTCCACTAGCACCAGCACAGACGATGCCCCGGAGGAGCCCGGGTCGCCCTCAGAGACTGCAGACCCCCAGACAGACAGCCCGGCTATCAGCTAGACCGGAGCGGAGCTGGCCTCTGCCCTCCGGGATCCACCCACCACGACCACCATCCGTCACCACTGACTGTCCCACCCACCAACACCTCCCCCTCCATCTCTCTGTGCTGACCCCCCTCCACCCCCCCCTCTATATCTGCATGACGTAGCAACAATGTCCCGAATAAACAACCACCACCACCCCGAAGACCCGCCACCTTACTGCATCGTGTCTGAGCTGTGAAAGGAGCTGATGGTCTGCAGGCATCGGAGGGAAGAAACGGAGCACGATGGATTGGGGGGGGGCATGCATTTTAAACTGGTAGTATATTTCTTAATTAAATTATGTGTTGTGTTCTGTTTCAACATTCACAGTATGAATAAGCTCTCTAAACATATACTATATACACATATATCTCTAAGAAAAATGCTTGTTTAAAAAAAAAAAATTCCAAACGGTGTATTATGTGTTTATGTACCCAACAGGAAAAAAAACAGCTGTACTATTCAGGATTATGTTTACACTATCCAGGTCACCCTGTCTAAAAAAAATGCAATGAGAAAATAATTTGGGCAAAGAAAAGAAAATGGCCTCACATTGGTTGCACAGTGTCTGCATCTGGCCACGCTTCAGGTATTTCACAAGTCTATACTCAGGTAATTTGGAATGTATGTCCATACGAATATCTGCAGCCTGACGAAGCAGAACAGATTGACCGCCATTTAATTCTGTTTTTTCTTCTTCTCTCAATCCCAGACAAATCATTGCTCTCTGGTCCAGAGTCTAGTCTGACACTCGACTCGTGATAGCTGACTGCAGCAGGTAGAGGCTGAAGTAGTGAGTGGTGGTGAGATACTGTACGGACCACACACACACTGTGACTGATGGTGTGTGTGTGTTGACAGAGACTTGGATGACATACAGCAGTTGTCTGATAATTAAGCCTGTGGACTGTGTGATTGGCTGTCCTGAACCTGTTAACCAGAAGTGGACGAGTCCGTCGTACCGTCACACGAAGATACAATCAAACTGAAGCAGTTGGTTCTTTAGAGGTGCAGATTGGAGGTTTAGTTGTACGAATGTTTATTCGATGAGTTAAACCTCAGTTTTCTAAGCCAAAGAAGCCATTTTATTGTGCAACTCAACCCGACTTAATTGAGACTAGACCCGGAGTGATACTGGTTTCCTGAGGCTGAAATCAGGATATGAGTTTAAAAAGCAGCAACAATACATATTGACCAACATTTATTTTTTAACATGTTTTTTGATGAGAATCTGTTGAAGTTGGATTATTAAAGAATTCTGACCAAGATAAGTACTGAGCAGGATGTTTCCCATCTGAAACATCTCTCTAATGGTCGATCAGCAAACCCTTTTTCCGATGCAATTAAATATCAGCTGATGGAATTTGAGCGGAAGATGCATAAGGGCTGTTAGAACAAACAACCGGTTATTGAGGCCAAAATACATCGGACGTGATCAGATTCTCCGTGAGTGTATCTAACTTACTGGACAACAGCCATTTTTGGCACAAGTAACAGTAAATGCGTAAATATAAAGTAACACAAGCAGCACAAGTAGAGAGAGAGTCGTACAATCAGCAGACTGACTCTATAGTAGCCACCATGAGCTACGGGGCACACCAGACGACGCAGGGCTGTAGCAGTAACATCTCTTAGGGTTTTAGATTGACTAAGAGTGTCTTAATTTATTAAAATTTGTGATTGTAAGAGGAAGAATGGGAATGAACGAGAACCTACATGCACTTCAACCACAGCCCGCTTATCTAATTCTCAGAATGTGCACTGCCTCCACATACACACACTGGAAGGGACATTTTTCATACTAAAATGTGTGACAGCAGGACTGCGTTTGGAATTATTTAAGAAATCTAAGTTTGAGTACCAGTAACAAAACTATGCTTTATTGAGCACCTTACTTTGAATATCTTTTTTTTTTTTTTTTTTGACAAAAGCTGAAGTTCTCAAATGATAAAATTAAAAAATACAGCCTAACCTTAACTGGCAAATAATGATTTAAAGCTGCACTAATCAATATTTTTTATATCCGAAATGGATGAAATTAAATGAGATGAAAGGGGTCACTTTCACCCAACTCTGGAGCGCTCCTCAGAGCTATGGAGCTTTTTTCAGCCCCTTTTAGATCAATTGTTTCGGTTTTATGGCCCATCAACTCTCTTGGTATACCATCCGCCAACCAATCCGTACACAGATTAAATCAGTGTCTAGCTGGCAAAGAAAGTGGATCATTTAGCAGCTAAAAGGTCCAATATCTTCAGGAGTTGGTGGTGACCAAACCAGAGCGTAAAGGGAGAGTGAATAGTGGACTTACATTCTTTAGGTACAAACAAACCTGACACCAGATGAATGCTAATGTTGCTCTGCTTCTGCCAAGTAATTGTTTGAGAAACCGGTCAAAAGATCGATAAATACAGCTTTAAATCAGACACCGCTAATAAAAGAATTACAAGTCTGATTAGTAGGAACGTTTCTGTACAGTTTAAAATTCTTAGTTCTACAGACACAGTAGCACTTTTCAGTCAGTGCCAGTAAAGGATGGATACCCATTCAGGAGGACAGTAGATATAGCCGCACGGTTTGCATAAACTAAAATCAATAAAGCCATACAAGATAGAATTTGCACAACTCTTAACTCCAATCTGCATATACAAACTGTTTCGATAATCCAGATCATTTATATTCCATTAAAATGCATTCCGTGAGATTTTCAGCATCCGAGACATAAATAGACTCATGTTGATCCATTCCTAAAATATCTCAGCCTTTTCTGATCGCTGTATGAGGCGAGCTACTGTTCTGAGAGACGCGTGGCTGCAGATACAGTCTCAGATCAAAGGATCCCACTGGCCTGCCTCCCTCTCACTGTCTGTCTGTAATCACAGTGTTGTAGGCATCTCGATGCCAGCACCAAGCAGTGAAACCCGAACGTCACCGTGTCCGAGTGTAAATGATCCATGACTTTCACGTTTATTTCGGTATCTGTTGTGCTCGTGGAGTCTCCGGCATTGACGGCCCGTTCATATTTTGTATATATGTGGCTTTTAAAGAGGCCCACTGCGATGTTGTGGTTTCTCAAGGCGTTTGTTTCTGCACCTTACCAAGAGCTACAGCTTTCTCAGTATCCCACGTATACCTGGCATTGGCAAACTAGATGTGTGCAATAATAGGGTTACAAAAAGCAACGTGTCCGTTCTTCAACACAAGTGTCTCATCTCGCATTCCTTCGGTTTTTGAAGCTTGATCGGGAAGTAGTGAAGCCATCAACTGATACAAAGCCAGCACTGAGAGCCACCAGAGCACATCACTGGCAGGTCAGAGTGTTCTTCGGCTCACCACATGATTCTCCTTGTGTAACCTGCAGTGTCAAAGTTCATGCACAATGGCAATAAATAACAACAACAAAAACATTGGTTTTGTCTACGTTTTGGTGTGTGTGACGTGAGAGACGGGAGAATCACTACTGATGTAAAAATAACTCCTGTACAATGTCTTTGTACATGTTGACGACTGTACCGTACAAAGAATTGCTTTAGTCATACAGACATCTCTATATGTTAATAGCATAAAATATATAATCCCAGGCACTCAAGTAGACTGTTTTCAATTTTTTAAAAAGTCTTGGAAATGCCTTAGAATACAGCCCACAATGCACAGCAATTTTTCACAATTGTTGAACTTTCTTTGTACTAACGGCTTACCAGTAGAGTACATGATGGTACAAGAGATGGTAAGTTAAGGAATGAGGCCGTACAAGTTTGTGCTGTAGGTACCCAGGAGAATGGGGTCAACATGTAACTAATAGATAACAACACTTCCCCAGTGGATTACCTTCTTTAATAAAAAAATATATATTTCAAGTTTTCTGAAAATGTGTGTTTAAATACGCAAATGAGGCATGATTGTATCAAATATGTGCTAATTTGCATCCGAAACAGAAATCTGAACGTTGGATAAAGCCAGGTTCAAAATGCATGTTTCATTTTGTTGAAATATTAGACTCAAAGGTTGTTACTGATATCTCTTTGTTGTACTTCATATTTTACACTGTCAACATCCATAAGACAGAACGTTTCTCCATGTTTTTATTAATATGTAGTATAAATGAGTCTCTGAATGATGTGTGACAAACCCCTCTGTGTTAACCTTCAGAACACAGAGAGGAATGAAAGTGTAAAGTTTGGTGAATGTAAGAGCTGCTGAAGTGGAGATTTATCATCAGAGTCTGAGAACAAACTCATTTAGAGAAAACGTCCTTTAAAGAGACGTTTAGTTACATTACAGACATTTAGAGACTCTACAGGTGAACACATGAACTCATAGATATCACCATGAAACTTCACCACTTCATTACTCACATCAAGATCATTATTTTTTGTATTACAAGTTTTCTGAAATGTTATGTTTGAATATGTAAATGAGGCATTATCTAATGGTAACTTTTGGTGAATTAAGGAGAAATCTACAGACACAAATTGACTCTTGACTCTTTAGTACAGATATTTTGTGTCTTATTTATACATTTAAAGAGATTAGAATGTGTGCTTGTTAAATGCTGCAGGCTACTGTTGACAGCTCGGTCTGGTTCCTTATGAAAGGTGTTTTATTAACAAACAGGGACGAGGGTTGATCTGGAATCACAATCGTTATTTGGGCTACTTGAGTGGAATGTGCCCTCTAGTGGCCACTGGTGTTAATAACGCCTTACCTGACTGGTGGCGTGCACAATCAAACTGATTCACCACAAAACTTTATTTCAGATTCTAGTGGGCAGGTTAATGTTTCCCTTAGATGCTAGATTAGAGTTATAGGGTAATGTTTAAAATGACTATTTCAAGAAGAAGTTTCGTTTTTTAGATACCTCTACTCGAGGCAGAACAAAACACGGCCATGTTGACTCATACATTTGATGATGATGGTCGTAACAAAAATATTGAATACAGCAAAAAGTGCTGAAATTGATCAATGAATGGACTCATCCCATTAGAGGAGAAGTGCAGAACAAAACCACCCTGGAGATGGTGTTGGGAAATGATATCAGCCCTACACCTCAAAGCATGAATATCAAAATATGTGTTTATTATGAAACTACAGCCGAGACACTTTTAAATACAATATGTGTAATTTTCATAGGCGGAAATTTCACACAGATACCTTTTTTAAAATAAAGTCACTTTTACTGAAGGTAATATATATATATATAAATATATATATAAATATACAGTATATATATATATAAATACTTGCATCAACCAGAATACATAACACAACATGAGAAAAAGTGGATTTTTTCTTTTCGCAGTTGGGAGAAAATACAGAGTTGGATATATTCTTAATATATATATAGATATATACACAGTACATCATCATTTAAGACAAACAAAATATTATGTATGGGTTCGACTGATTTGAGATTTTGATAGGCAATAGCAAAATGTTTTTATTTTATTGTAACACCATTTATTATCAATCTCAACTTTATTTATTTACCATCTGAGCACAATGTACACTTAAATGATTAAGATTTCAAAACTAGATTTTAACACACACAAGGGCCACAGCATT